CTATTGCTATTGCTATTGCTATTGCTATTGCTATTGCTATTGCTATTGCAGTTCGGCTGTTCAAATCTCACCGGCTCAAGGTCGACTCAGCCTTCCATCCTTCCGAGGGGGGTCAAATGAGGACCCGGACTGTGGGGGTAAGTTGCTGACTCAATTTGCTAAAAAAAAAATTGTAAACCGCTTAGAGAGGGCTGAAAGCCCTATGAAGCGGTATATAAGTCTAACTGCTATTGCTAAAATGCAAGAGCAGAGTTACATAGCAACATAAGGTTTATTTTTTTCACCTTATCAAACATTCAGAAGCAAGGTTTTTATTACAAAAAAAAAAAGAAACCAAACGAAGCATCCTACAGAAACAGAGTTCAAATAAAGGAAAGCTTTCACTAATGATTTAGATGTTGCTCTCCAACAGACTGACACGAAATGCCCCTCATTAATATTAAAGTTGGGGATCAAGGAACTACGTGCTTTTAGATTTTCTTGCCCTATAAACCTCCTGCATCGTGTGTGTGTGTGTGTGTGTGTGTGTGTGTGTTAGTGTTACATAAGCTCTTTACACACTTAACAATAGTTGCCATTGGCCCTGTGCTTCTCCTTGGTTACCTCCGAAATTGCCACCCACTCCCGGTTGTCATGCCGAGTAATTGAACAACCTGAATAACAGAGGCGATTCTGATGCTTGCTTGCCACGATAAACCCAATTACTTTTATAGAGCAGAATCACAAAAAAAAAAAACCTGCATTCTCAGTTAGAATGAAACATGTTTATGTATTAAACAAGCTCACAAATGAGGAAGATGGGAATTAAAGTGACCCTGAAATTTGATCAAATCATGTTTAATTTTATAGCGGTAAATACAGTGATTTGGGGGGAATTAAACATTGTTCTAATAGATATAAAAGCATAATCTCTAACTAATCTTCTTAATTAATCTATTATGCAAAAACTCATGCAATCTCCAAAATTGGCAAAGTGAATCCCAATCAGTTTTCTGAAAAGTAAGTAGATCTAGTGCTGTTAGAACGGTACATAGAACCATGGAGTGGACGGGTGTTTCAGAGGTCACCTAGCCTGACCCTTTGCTTAACGGGAAATCCATTTAAGCACATCCGATGACTACACAGCCTCTGTTTGAAGATCTACAATGAGGGGAAAGAGACCATTTCATAAGGAAACTTGTTCCACTGCTTGAGAGCTTATCCTGTCAGTAATTTCTTTTTTTCCCCCCGTAATACCTAATCTCAATCTATTTTCTGAAGAGTCAGCGTAGGGCAGTGTTTCTCAACCTTGGCAACTTGAAGATATCTGGACTTTAACTCCCAGAATTCCCCAGCCAGCATTCGCTTTTTCAGGGGAGAGGGGGAGACCCATGTCAGTGTACTTACCACCCACATTATAGATGGTGAGAATAATAATGTGGGACCTTCTGTTGCTCTTAAAGCTCATCCTCCTGCTTCTAAGTGTACACTATCTACGGGCTCTTTAACAATGACAAAAGCTTGCTAAGTTTTCACAAGTTGCACAGCAACAGCACGAGTCTCAAGGGAGGAAGTAATGATATGAAACACAGGTGGGTGGAAGGATCACTTAAAGGAAGCCTAACCAGCCTTGGAGCTGTGAAGGCACCATGGAATTTAACATCTGTTGTGAAAGGCACATAGCATTGCACATACTTTTTTTTTACTTCACAACAATAAATTAAATGCCCAACCCTTCACATTTCTTAGAAAATCTAACCATCTCTTTAAAATAAGAACAGAGCAGCTAGCTGTCTTTTCTCCAAGAAATTAAAGAGTTTGCAAATGGCACATTAAAAAAGCTAAATACTTTCTGGTTTGGTTCATACCTCACAGAAAGCTATTTGCTTAACAATGAGCATGGATCAAAATTGGCTTCAACTCAATGCAATAAGCTAGAACCAGTGGTGAAATTCATCTTTTTTTTTACTACCAGTCCTGTGGGGGTGGCTTGGTGGGCGTGGAAGGGGAAGGATGCTGCAAAATCTCCATTCCCACCCAACTCTGAGGCCAGTCGAAGGTGGTATTTGTCAGTTCTCCGAACAACTCAAAATTTCCGCTACCGGTTCTCCAGAACCTGTCAGAATCTGCTGAATTCCATCCCTGGCTAGAACCCATCATTTACAAACAAGCCATATCTTAGGCTTAGTGCAATGTGTAAACCCAGCTACTGTGTGCACTTAACAACGAAAGCTCATTCAAGTATCGAAGTGTTGATGGGATTTCTTCCGACTGTTATTGTCGCAAGTCAGAATTTCTGAGTCACGTGAGTTCCGTGCCAATTGCTTTCTGTGTGGTGAACTCGCTGTTGTTTCAGCAGCTAGAACTTCCTCTTCTGCTTTTTGAAATGAGTTTTTTTTCCCCCTTTACAAGATTTCACTGGTAAGACAGGTCAAGGGAAAGCAATGACCCTGCTTGGGTCATTCTGTGAGCTAAAGTCCGCCGATGTTAAAGTTTGAAAAAAAAATTGCTCCAACATTTGTTTATTATATTTGTTTGTTTATTATTATATTTATATGCTGCCCTTTCCCCCCGAAGGGGACTCAGGGCGGCTCACAACTCAAACCAGGGAAGGGGGATATAGACAAAAAATTAAAAAACAAAACATAACAATGCATAATTTAAAACACACAACAGTCATACCATTCGAGACGGGGGCAACAGTTCTTTAGCCCCAGGCCTGTCGGGACAGCCAGGTTTTAAGGGCTTTGCAGAAGGCCTGGAGGGTGGTGAGGGTTCGAATCTCCATGGGGAGTTCATTCCAAGGGGCGGAGCAGCCACAGAGAAGGCTCTCCTCCGGGTAGTCACCAGTCGACACTGGCCGGCGGATGGAATTCGGAGGAGGCCTAATCTGTGGGATCTAATCGGTCTAGTGGAGGTAATTGACAGCAGGCAGTCTCTCAATTTCACCTTGACCGGTTCTAAAGAAGAATTTAGCATTCCTTTTTTAAATTGGCTTTGCAAAGAAGCATACTTCTAAGGTAGTCCAAATAGCATCATAAAGTTGTTAGCAAATTGTATTG